ACCAGCCCGGTTCTCCCAGAGATTCTGTCCCTCATGTTATAGGTTGGTAGTAAGCGCAGGCCTGAGGGTTGGGGGAGCCCCGATACTAGCAGTGTTCCAGGGGTCGGGGTTTTTTTTTTTTTTTTTTTTCCTTTTTGTCTTTTTTCGTGACCGGCAACGGATCGCAACCCTCAGTGTCGCGCCCGTACCGGACCGGGACCGGCAACGGGATCGCAACCCTCGGTGTTGTGCCCGCAGGTCGCTCAGCCAGTGAGTGGGAACCGGTCTGTATGTGGGATCCGAACCCTCGGCGGGAGCGCCGCCACACTCCCAAGCGGCGCACTGTAGCAGTGCGCCACCGGGCCGGCCCATGGGGGTGGGGTTCGGGGTTTTTGAGGAGCCAGTCGTGCTTTTATAACCCGGAATAGAAATGAAGCCAACCCCTAAGAAGACATTTCACCCTCCTCCCAACTCCAGGCCTTTTGGCTGAGGAGTGACCTGAGCCCTGAAGAAGGGTCCTGGAAGCCTTGGTCAGCTCCAGTTCTGCCCATGGGCCCTGAAGATGAAGATGCAGCAGTGGGACGAGGCCATGAGTGTCCCCTGCACAGGCTCTTCCCTGGCGAGCAGAGTCCTGCTGTCAAGATGGCAGCTGCCCCCTCCTAAGATGTGGCCAGTGTAGAATGTCTCCACCCAAGGGAGGCCCTGCTGGGCTCTGCTTTCTGCCCTAAGTGGGGCACCAGCCGCCTCCCTCCACCAGGCTCCAGCCAGGCCAGGGCCAACCTCACTGTTTCTTCACAGGTTCAACTTCGTGGCCAAGAAGCTGCACCGGCGGCTGCTGCAGCTCGGGGCCAACGCCCTCCTGCCTGCATGCCTGGGCGATGACCAGCATGAGCTAGGGTGAGTCTGCGGGACTTGGTGCCCCCTCCACGCTCCCCCCTCCCACCGGGAGCAGGGTCCACTCAAGCCAGAGTATGTGCCCTCTCCCAGGCCTGATGCCGCCATCGACCCCTGGCTGCAAGACTTGTGGGAGAAGGTGCGGAGGCTGTACCCAACGCCTGTTGACCTCCCTGTGATTCCCCCCGGAGTCCCGTGAGTGTGGGCCTCAGGTCAGCCCCTAAAGGTGTGGCAGCCCCAGCCTGGCCGTGAGGACCTCATCCTGAGTTCCTCCTGGGGTGTGGGTGGGTGGCCCCCTGGAGGGAAGCTGGGGTCTGACGGGTGTGTGCCTTTCATGCAGCTTGCCTCCCAAGTTCACCCTGCAGTTCCTCCAGGAGGCCCCCAGTGCATCCTCTGAGGAACCGCATGGGGCCAACCCAGACCCTCAGGGACCCCCATCAGCGCTGCAGCCCTTCCTGGCACCCATGGTTGCCAACCAGAGGGTCACTGGCCCCTCGCATTTCCAGGATGTTCGGCTGATTGAGTTCGACATCACAGGCTCCAGCCTCAGGTAAGGTGCCCAAGCACAGCCCAAGACACCAAGCAGGCGGCAGGGTCTGCTGGGGTGACAGTGCAGAGGTGTCCTGGGAGCTGCGGAGGGCAGGGTGAGTGCTGGCCGTGGGTCTGGGGCTCTGAGTTGCTGCCGAAGCTGGAGAGTAGGAAGCTCGGCAGGGAGAAGGCCTGGGCTGGGCTGCAGGGGAGCTGGTCTTCGCCCAGGGACCCCTCTGCCCTCCTGGATGTTTACTTCTTTCCTCTGCAGTCTCCCCTGAGCCCCTAGCATCCTCCCCTGAAGTGCATGTCCCCTTCCCCCAAGGCCCCAGGTCCTGCCCACAGTCCCTGCAGCCCTGCTGGCTTCCCACAGCTTTGCTGCCGGCGATGTGGTGCTAATTCAGCCCTCAAACTCAGCTGGCCACGTCCAGAAGTTCTGCCAACTGCTGGGCCTGGACCCTGACCAGTGCTTTGTGCTGCAGCCACGGGAGCCAGGTGAGCCCGAGAGCTGCAGCTGCTCTTGTCCCCACCTGCAGGCTGGGCTGGGCTGCTCTGCCCTCCTCCACCCTGAGGCCCCAGCCCACCCAGGTCCCTTGCTCACTGCTGCAGGTGTCTCCTGCCCCTCAAGGCTGCCCCAGCCCTGCTCTGTGCGGCACCTCGTGTCCCAGTACCTGGACATTGCCAGTGTGCCCCGCCGCTCCTTCTTTGAGCTCCTGGCCTGTCTCTCTCCCCATGAGCTGGAGCGGGAGAAGCTGCTGGAATTCAGCTCTGCCCAAGGCCAGGAGGAGCTCTGTGAGTACTGCAGCCGGCCCCGCAGGAGCATCCTGGAGGTGCTGTGTGACTTCCCGCACACTGCTGGCGCCATCCCCCCAGACTACCTGTTGGACCTCATCCCTGCAATCCGGCCGCGGGCCTTCTCCATCGCCTCCTCTCTGCTGGTAAGGGTGCCGGTGGGCAGCGCCCAGGCTGGCCTTGGGAGAGCTGGGACTGGGGCCATGGGGCTGTGCAAGCAGGGGCTGCCCACTGGCCAAGTCCCATCCCCCATGCCTGGGACTGCCCCTGGGTGAGGTGGGTGGTGCCTGGGGCATGGGGGTGGGTAGCCTCGCCAGGAGGGTACTCACCATCCCCACTGTCCCCTCCCACAGGCATGCCCCTCGCGACTGCAGATCCTCGTGGCTGTGGTGCAGTACCAGACTCGCCTCAAGGAGCCCCGCCGGGGCCTCTGCTCCTCCTGGTTGGCATCCCTGGCTCCTGGGCAAGGTGACCCCTTCTCCCAAGGAGGGGTGGGGGCTGTTGCCAGGGCTCCCTTCCCGCATGCCCTCGTCCAGTGCTGGGCTTGGGCCCCACAGGCTCCTCAGCCTAATATCCTCTTCATGCTGCCTCTCTCCCACAGGAAGACCTGTCCGGGTGCCCCTATGGGTGCAGCCTGGGGGTCTGGCCTTCCCAGAGACGCTGAACACACCTGTGATCATGGTGGGGCCTGGCACTGGCGTGGCCCCCTTCCATGCAGCCATCCAAGAGCGCGTGGCCCAGGGTCAGACGGGTGAGCACCCAAGGATCCCAGAGCAGGGTCATGGCAGGGTTGGCTGGACTGAACTTTGAGGCCAGTGTCCATGCTCAAGGCCACCCTGTGCTTCCCCAGGAAACTTTTTGTTTTTTGGCTGCCGCCGGCGGGACCAGGACTTCTACTGGGAGGCTGAGTGGCGGGACCTGGAGAAAAGGGGCTGCCTGACCCTTGTCACAGCCTTCTCCCAGGAACAGGTGGGTGTGCTCAGGGGCCGTGGGGTGTGGGGAGGGCTGAGATTCAGCCCCCTGCCCGTCCTTCCGCCCTACAGGACCAGAAGGTGTATGTGCAGCACCGGCTCCAGGAGCACGGGCCACTTGTGTGGGAGCTGCTGGACCGACAGGGTGCCTACTTCTACCTGGCAGGGTGAGCATAGGCCGTGGGGTGTGGTGGGAGTGGACCCAGCTCCTCTGGGGGTCCCAGCCTCACTGATCCCTCTGTGGCCTGTTTCTCTAGAAATGCTAAGTACATGCCAGCAGACGTCTCGGAAGCCCTGACCTCCATCTTCCAGGAGGAGGGTGGGCTCTCTGGCCCTGATGCGGCCACCTACCTTGCCAGACTCCAGCGGACACTGCGCTTCCAGACTGAGACATGGGCGTGAGGAGCCACCCTACTGGCCCTACGCCCACCCTGACAGCTGCTCTCCTGGGGGGGGACCCCAAAGAAGGAAGTCCAGAGGGAAGCTCCTGGCAGAGGGCCATCGTCGTCACCTCCTGGCTCTGTCTGACCTCAGAATCCTCATCAGAGCAGGGGTGGGACTTCCAGGCCCTGGCTGGTTGGGAGAACAGCCAGCTCCCTGCACACAGCACACGCGAGTGACCCCTGACCCCACTGCAGCCTCCGCCAGCTGGCTGTCCCTCAGCTTGTCCAGCCCCTCCCCATCCCTACCCAGCCCTGCCACACAGCTCTGTTTCCCCTTCCCCCCAGCTGCTGGTCGGGGGGGTGCCCTGGGCTGTGCCATTCCACACTGGTGCAGTGACCCAGGAAGGCACTGCAGCCTGATGGGTACCAGGGGCCTGCTGATCCCAAGGTGGCACAGGGTCCCTGTGAGGGCCGCACGGCCCCCTTGTCTGTTGGGGGATTCCCAGACACTCCCACTGTTGCCTGCAGGGACCCTGGTGTCCTGAGGAGCATGGGATGAGGCCCAGCCGGTGCAGCGCCTTCCCCTCGTGGTCCCGGAAAAGCCTTGGCAATAAATTGTGGCCTCTGGGTGGCTGCTTCCCACAAGTGCTTTTTTCCTCCCTCCAGCTCTTCCTGGGGGCCTGTAGGCTCACCGCATGTCAGGACCCCTCCTGTGGCATGCACACCTGTGTGCACACACATGCCCTTGCTCAGCCACCTTTGCCTGACCGGTGCTGCCACTTTGATTTCTAACTCTCACGTGGTGAGCGCCTGCTGTTTGCCCACTTCGTACTTAGGGGCTTGGCAGCAGGTCAGCCAAGTTCCGCCCCGCTCTGAGAGGTGTGGGAAGTTGCTGGCCAGGCTGGCATTGCCCCTCCCTTCCCTTCCTGGGAGCCTCGCCCCTGTTCTGGGAGTGGGGAGCCTGCCCAGGAGGCAACGGGGTGGCACTGTCCCACCCCTGGGAGGGGACTTTGGTGCTGGTAGAGAAAATCTTGTTGTTGTTGGGCCAGTCTGCCCGCCCACATTGCCTCCCTGAGTCTGTCGGTCGTCAGTTGCTGACACGGGACTGAATGTGGCTGAGGCCGGGCTCGGGCCAGATCCAGCTGGGACAGTACCGGGTGACCCAGTAGCTGCTGGGAGCTGGCACACGCTGCTGGGGTCCAAGCGAAGTTTACTTCCAGTGGGGCGATCTAGCCTGGAGGAGGTCAGTGCCAGCCTCGGGAGAGCCCTGCCTGGCCCTGAGGGCCACGCTGACCTTCATGTCCCCAGCCACCCCCCTCACAGCCCTGGGTTCCCTGCCCACCTATCCTGACTCCTGCCCCAGGGCCACCACCCCTGAACTGTGCCCCGGGGACCCCCCCTTCAGCCCCTCTAACCCCAGCTCTGGGCCTGCCCGTCCCTTTTGTGCCTCTCTGGGCCCTGAGCACCTGGACCCACTGTGCCAAGTGCTACCAGATGAAGGGGACAACCTTGGGGCTCCCCAGGGTACCAGGACTCCAGACAGTGAGCCCCTACTGGGGGCCATAGCCCTGGACAGTGCCTGGGTCCTGCCAGCAGGGGAGGAGGGGCAGGAGCAGGGGGAGGAGGAGGAATGCCCCATCTGCACGGAGCCCTACGGTCCTGGCCAGCGCCGCCCGGCCCTGCTGAACTGTGGCCACAGCCTGTGCGTGAGCTGCCTACACCGGCTGTTGGGCACGGCTCCCAGTGCTGACCTGGGCCGTGTGCGCTGCCCACTGTGTCGCCAGAAGACGCCCATGCTGGAGTGGGAGATCTGCCGGCTGCAGGAGGAGCTGTTGCAGGCCGATGGGCCCCAGTGCCCACCACCCCCTGCATCCCCTGCACCACCCCACCGCGATCCGGGGCCCTGGGGCTCCCTAGAGCACCGCTACCAGCTGCGCTTCCTGGTGGGGCCTGTGGGTGGCCGGAGCTGCCTGCCCTTCCTGCCCTGCCCACCCTGCCTGGGTGCCTGGCTATGGGCCCTGCGGGAGCGAGGGCCGTGTGCCCGCCGCCTGGCACTGCTGGGGCTGCTAGGGCTGGAGCTGCTGGGGCTCCTGCTTATTTTCACGCCACTCATGCTCCTGGGGCTGCTCTTTATGCTCCTGGACCGCTCTGGCCACTAAGCAGAGCCCAGGACAGCCCTGGACACCAACTGGCCTGGAGGCCCAGAATGGCCCATGTCCCCAAGCCTGGGGGGTATGCGGGCTGATGACCACGCTGAAAACCCAAGGTTGGTCCCAGGGCACTGGCCTTCAATTTAAGACCTGCTGTCACTGAACACAAGACCAGGGCCAGGGACACCCAGGAGCTGACCCAGCCAGAGAATCCACAGCCACCTGCTGCTCAGACACTAGCTGAGCACAAGGACACCGTTTCCCAAGGACAACTGCTGGAGGAGGCTGGCCCAGCAGGAAGGTCTGTGAGCAAGGCCCCATGCGCCTTGTGATGGACGGGTGCCATACCGACCATGGGCTGACGCTGGGCGACACCTCCCTCTCCCGAGGCCAAGCATGGTGGACGTGAACATGAACAGAGATCCAGCAGTGAGTCAGTTGCTTGGAAAGGGCAGGGGCTGCAGGGGTCCCCCAACCCACCCTGTGTTCCAGATAAGGGCCAGTGTGTGTCCTTGAAGGTCAGGGTAGCCAAGGAGAGGCTCCTCAGCCAACCTGAGTCAGGACCAGAGGAGGTGCCCAGAGCAGCCAGGGGGTCAGTACTGACTCTGTACTGTAAGGGAGAACCTGCCCAGGCCTTGGAAACTGAGAGTGCCTGGCCCGAGCCCCAGCTCTGCCTGACTGCCCACACAACCTCACATTGCCAAGCCTGGGGCCTTCGTGTGAAGGATGGGGACATGGGTAGCCCACCTCTCTGGCTTGTCAGTGCCGTGACGAGATAGGGGGCTCCACGCTGAGTGCTGTGCCTGGCACAGGAAATGGCTTTTGATAAACAGCTGCTGCTATTGACACCTTTGTTTTTACTACAGCCGGCATTGTTGGCCATCCTCCCCATCCAGGTGGTCTCTCCTCCATGCCCCCTGCAAAGATCCCTCCTCCATGTACACCCTCCACAATCTCAGCCAGCCTCTGTCCCAAACCCCTACTCAGACTGGCCCAAAGGCCATTCCCACACAACCTTGGAAGATCCAGGCAGGCGCTCAGCACCAGGTGGACACCAGAAGGTGTCAACTGAGTTGTCCTCCCATGCAGCCACCCCACACCATTGGCTGGTGCAGAGGTAACGTCCTCTCTTTGCCCAGCTGGGCTGGTTCTGCACACCGGCTACATTGGCCTGCATGGCACATATAAGCAGCCGCTCTGCACCAGAGTGTGGGGATTTGCAGGCACACACGCTCACAGTCAGGCCTGGCCCTCCTGAGCCACATGCTCACCCAACCTGGCCCTAGTGAACAGAGCAGGCCGACCCTGAGCAGCACTGGGCCTCCCTCTGGCAGCTGCAGGCCATATCCCGTCCAGGCTGCAGCCCTGGGCGCCCACCCTAGCCCAGGCCTGGGTACAGCCCACAGGAGCAAGCTTCAGTCCACGAAACAGGTGCAGACTTTGGCAAAGAGTTTTAATGGCAGAATTGGCTGCAGCAACAATTCCACGCGGGGTAGGGCCAGAAGCCATGATGGGCGAGGAAGGGTCAGTGGGCAACAGAGCAGGGCCGGGTCCCTGAAGAAGCGGTGAACGAGTACCAGCAGGCAGTGGTGGGCAGGCAGGCGCTACATGATGGAACAGGCGGACAGTGGGTTCCTCACGTGGCAGGTGCACGCTGCCCCACAGTACTGCCGAAAAGTCTGGTAGCAGCTGCCCTCAGGCTCGCCCCCCCACTGGCCACCGGATGGGGCAGTCAGCGCCTCGGGGGGCAGGCGGCTCAAGATGGACGTGTTGACAGCCAGTGCAGCCAGGCCATAGTCAGTGAAGAGCACAGTCTCACGGCGGCAGGTGGGACAGGAGATGAACTTGTACTTGGGGCAAGACTCGTAGAGAATCTGCAGGCACTGCTCGCACACGGAGTGAAGGCAAGACAGTACACGGGGCCGCCGCTGGGTGACGTTGTATGTGTGCCCACAGGTGGGGCACTCCAGGGGCTCACCTGCTGCCACTGTCATGGACGAAGTCGCCGATGCTGCAGGGCCAGGCCGAATCACGTACTGATTCACAATGACCTCGTCTGCTGGTGCCACGCGGGGGAAGCCCAGCTCTGCACTACCCTTGCGGGGCCGCCTTGGCAGGGGTGGGGTGTGGGGCGCCCCTTCCAAGGCAGGCATGTCCCCCCCACATGCCTGGTTGACAATGATCTCTGTGTCTGAGGGCCAGGCACGCTTGGGTGCCAGAGTGGGGGTAGGCCGGGGAGCAGGCGGGAAGCAGGGGGCAGCCGTCGATAGCTCAGGGAACTTCTCAGGGTGGACAATCTTCATTGCCTCCATCTTGAGGATGACATGGGGGCCCTTCAGGCAGGACATGAGGAGGCCCGGCCAGCCACTGCCCACCTCGGGTCCAGGGTCAGCGGGCATCCGGCTGTCTCCAGTCAGACTGGACTTGCGGGTGGGCGGGGGCATTGGGTGGGGCTCAGGTGGAGGAGAGGGAGCAGCATCCTGATCCTGCCAGGCCTGATGGGAAGCCCGGCCACCCCGTGGACTCCTAGGGGCAGCCGGTGAGAGCTGGGGGGGCAGGGCCCCTCCCAGTGGCCACAGTGGCTTCTCTGGTCCA